ATAATAATAATAATAATAATAATAATAATAATAATAATAATAATAATAATAATGATAATAATAATAATAATATTAATAATAATAATAATAATAATAATAATAATAATAATAATAATAATAATAATGATAATAATGATAATAATAATAACAACAACAACAACAATAATAATAAAAATAATAATAATAATAATAATAATAATAATAATAATAATAATAATAATAATAATAATAATAATAATAATAGTAATAATAATAATAATAATAATAACAATAAAAATAATAATAATAATAATAATAATAATAATAATAATAATAATAATAATAATAATAATAATAATGATAATAGTAAGTTGTTAAGAAGTTGATGTTCTTCAGATCATCATCCTCATCATCATCCTCATCATCATCCTCATCATCATCATCATCATCATCATCATCATCATCATCATCATCATCATCATCATCATCATCATCATCATCTTAAACCCCTCTGTCCTCCCAGTATGTTTAGGCCTCCCCCTCTTTCTCTTTCATTGGGAATTACACCCAAGACTTGTGGGTAATGCTTGTTTTCGAGTTTCTCACGTTGTCCAATCCACTTCCATTATCTCTTTCTGATTTGTACACCTATTTTCTGTGTGAGGTAAAAAAAAATGTTCCAATTAACCAGCGGTCTAAACTAATCGACCCCAGAAGATTTGTTGGTTTGTAAAGCTATTTTAAAAAAGCCAAGTTATTGTTAATGAGTTTTGCTGGCATCATGGAAGACATTAGACCAGTTATTTCTTCATTACAAACAAGCGACTACTTTAAAAAAATACTTTCTATGAAACGAATCCCACCGGTATTTAAAAGGGGAAAAAATCCCACCACCTCCCTTAAAACGAACAAACAAACAAACAAACAAAAAAACAACAACAGCAACAAAACAACAAAAGCCACAACCACATTTTAAAAGGGCTATGTAAACTGCAACAGCAGCTTCGGTTTGCGTGCTAAGCCTTTGTGGCTCTCTTGTCGCATTCACAGTCCGGCAATCTGTTGCTGTACTGGGTCGATGATTATGACAACTGATCATTAAACAATCGAAATCTAAAGAATGAATGACATACCACAGTTAGTTAAATAAGGAATGGACTCTCATTGGGAGTGTGATTTGCTATTTTTGAATGCAAAAAAAAAAAAAACAGCTACAAAAAACAAAAAACAAAACAAGCTAACAAAACCCAACAAATGTGAATGTTCATGCCCCCATTGACACAATTTAGAGCATATTAAAATTAAGAGCCGGGCTGCTTCGACTTTACCTGCAACTGTAAAAACCAACAGAGAGATAAAACGTCCTTGCAGATAGACGAAGACACTCGATCAAATAAATAAATAAATAAATAAATAAATAAATAAATAAATAAATAAATAAATAAATAAACAAATAAACAAATAAACAACTAAGCAAATAAATGGATGAATGGATGAATGGATGAATGGATGAATGGATGAATGGATGAATGGATGAATGGATAAATAAATACATTAAAAAAATAAATAAAAAAAATAAATAAAAAATTAAATAAATAAATAAATAAATAAATAAATAAATAAATAAATAAATAAATAAATAAATAAATAACAAAACACCTCTCAACACGAGATTTGAACTCACATCTTGTACGTGTGGAGGCGAAGTACCTAACGGCGACACCATAGTTGCAGGTTTTCTAAGACAACCAAAGGACTTACAATGCTGCAGATCCTGACCTACCTTTCACTAATTGATGAATATTTTAAAGTACATTGTACATTAATAAGTTGATGTACATGTTGTTAGGAAGTTGGGGGGGGGGGGGGGGGCGGGTATATATCTTCATCACTTTTTGCCCTCATATTTTTCCCGTTGGGCCACTCCCTTCCTCCGTGCAGAACCTCCCTTTAGTATCCCGTCTAACAGCCCCAGGCACCGCTCATTGTACACTCCATGTGACTCCAGCTTTCGATTGGGTTACAATAAA